TGCTGAATGATAGCACTTGCTTGCTCAGTTAACCTCACCTTCTTTGGAATATTGCTCTTAAAAATGCGTTTTTGAGTACACAAATCTTTAAGAAATTTTATATATGGTGAAATTTGCTTAATGGCATCAAGGATAGGAATGTTGATCTTTACTTGCTTAAAGACTTCAAACATGTCCTGAATTTTATCGCCCTTTTTCCCAAAATGTGTGGACCCTATGAGGCATTAAGGAAAAGGAGCTTTGGGCTCATAAGATGTCTTAACATTTTGGATTGGCGGATTTGGAAATTTTGGACTATTTTTCTGATTTTTGAATGAAGAAATTGAATCCTTGGGAGCAAGAGTTTCAACTTTCACTACAAAAAAAAAGGGCTTCTACGAGGGGTCAAAAACGCCGTGAAAAGTCATTCACGGCGCATTGTAGGCCCTCGTGTATGAGGGTTCCGTAAATACTTAAATTTACTTACAACATGGATATTTACCCGTTAATAATTAACTTACGAGGCACTAAAGCGTGCCGTAGAAAAGTTTTCTATGGCGAATTGTAACTACCCGTAAATAATCTCACGAGGCACCGACGCATGCCGCAGAAAAGTTTTCTACGAAGAATTTTAACTACCCGTAAATAATCTGACAAGGCGCTGACGCATACCATAGAAAAGTTTTCTACAGCGAATTTTAACTACCCGTAAATAATATTTGCGGGGGTTTCAAGCTCCCCGTAGATAACATATTTTTTTTTCAATAATATTTACGAGGGTTTCAAGCTCCCCATAGATAACATAATTTTTTTAAAAAAAAAGTTATAAAACATTACCCTTAAATGCTACCTAATCATTCATCCAACGTATAATTGGCATTAATTTTCAACTATCATTTAATTAAAAAATATATCAACACATTCATAGTTACAATATTTTATGTTAATGTCAATAATCATAACCAAAACAATCTTTTGAATTACCACATTAAACATATCAAAAGACTTAAAATATTTTTACAATTCAAGAATTCATGATTGATCAATGTGCCAAAATAGGAAGTAAATCCATTTACAAAAAAAAAATAATAATAATCAATTTCCTAACAATTGAGTTTCAATCTACACTTGTCAAAAACACCACCTCATTTTCCACGGTACAAAATCCAAGCAAGTAGGTGCTCCCATTGGTTTAGCAGCCAAAACTCGAAATGCAGGGTTGATAAACTTGGCAGCCAATGCAACCCTAGATATCAAACCTCCGGCTAAATTTTTTTTACCAGAAAAAATGAAAAGCTCATCAAATTAGTAATAAAGATGATGCAGGAATAGAAAAGATGAATTAATACTTAGAAGTCATTAAACAAACCACATAGGAACTATTATAGTGTCTATTTGTGGGGCTTGCTCCAAAAGCTCCAATGATATTGTACCCTGCCCACTGTGTAAACAATTGAACACTGTCATAGTGCATTCATACTCATGCCATAAGATTTTCCTTTATTTATTTTTTATAGTTTCTACATGCATAAATACCTCTCAATGTGAAACATGTTAGAGTTTCAATTGAGAAGGCATGGAGATTTGAAGGACAATGGCAATGCAATTTCTTCAATGTAAAATCAGCATGTTCGGTGCATTCCTGACACAGGAGTCATGCCTAGAAAATGTCTCTCTATTTTCCGGAAGTGAGAAAACTATAGGAATGAAAGAGAATCAACAGCAAATGAGATCTTTCAGGTGTTCCAATTTTGCTAGTCCATTTGGTTAATTTTTGAGTGTTAATTTTCTAAACAACCTTTGAAACTGGAAATTGAGGGTCAATTCCCGATAGGGGCAGAGCAGGTGTGTGAGTTACTTGCCAGGCCAAATAAAATATAAAAATAAAAAAGTAAAAATAAAAATCAATATAGGAAAACAAGCTAAGTTCACCCACCCGGACTACTTTATTTGACATTTTTACCTTATTTATCACCATTTGTGTAATGACCCGGTCATTTTCTTACTTTTCCTTTTTCCTCAAATTTTGTGGATAAATTTTTTTCCGTTGTCTTTTCTATTCTGTGGATGGTTTTTCGTCACTTAGTGTCTTCTCGAGTGCTCGGAAATGGTTTCTGAGACTCTTTTCCATGGATTGATAACTTCCTTTGAGGACCGAGTCATTTCCACAATTTTCGTTTTTCGACACTATTCACTTTTTTGTCCTTATTCCTATTTCGTCATTTTCCCTATTTTGTTTTTTCCCTGTTTGTCACTTTGTTGGCAAAACCTCACTTCTTGTGCTCGGAGTTGGTTTATGACTTCACGTATCTTTATCGTGAGTGGTTTCCACGAAATACATATCTTTACTTTTGTAGGAAAGTACTTTGGTTGCTCCCGGTGTCCATAGGGGCATGGATGCATAATTCTTTGAAATTAATTTCTTTTTTTGGGGTATTTTTCATAAATATCTTTTGAAGATATTTTATTTCATGGGTATATAATAAAATATCTTTTGGAAGATATTTTCATTCTGGGGCAGTTTTTCAGTTAACCCTTTTTGTGGGGGTCATTGTGCAATTAATAAAAGTTATTGCAAATTATCTTGTTTTGAGCCTGGATCCTCGTACAGGATTCATTTTCACTTTTTGTTGAGTCGTAAACTCTTAGAAGTCCCTTCTGGTCGATGTTTTCCAGTTTTAGGGTTTCTGGCCCTAGTTTGCGCCAAACTTATTTTGGGCATAACTTTCTACTCGGGACTCAGTTTTTGATGCCGTTTCTTTCGTTATTCTTATTTTCTCATTTTGAATCTTTTTTGTTCATAGAGTTTCATCATTTGAGTGCGTTTGCTCAAATTTCACTTTTCCGGACCCGGCGGGGCCCGTTCGGGGCACTTTTTGAGATTTCTATAAAAGGGGGATGAGATATTTTATTTTTTCATCTTCTCCACTCTCTTGCACGACCTGAAGCTTCCATGGCAGCCCAAGGTAGGCTACCACCTTCTCTCTCCTCATTTGAACTTTATTTCTTTGTCAGAACATAGTAGAGCCTTTGCGTTTTGTGTTCGTGTTGACTACGCGCTTCTTTCACCCTTATTAGAACCCATTTCTGGCCAAATTTTGAGTTTGATTTTAAATTCAAGTTGTGATTTTCATGGGTCCTCTTTGGAGTTTATCGTTCATGGCGTTGTCCCCGACGAAACCCTGAAGTATTGTCGAATTCAGAGCCGTTTTGTTTTAATGGCTTTTGAGATTTTCATCTCAAATTGAGGTAGGGGGTGTCTTAGATTTATATTATTGTTGTATTGATTGTTTTATAAACATATACAACTTGTGAGCATGCCTTGTTCAAGTTTTTAGAATTTAATTTAATTATTTTCTTTGTTTAAGATTTAATTCTCATGATGCTAGGTAACTTAGAATTAAATTGTGACATGCTAGAAATTTAGGCCTTGGTATGGTGGTTGATATATATTAAATTGGGGTTATTTGATTAAGAATTGCAAATTTTATTTAATATTTATCTTTTGTGAAAGTTTAATTCACCTAGTTGTATCAAGCATGGAATCAACTTGTAATGTGATATTAAAGTAGGCCTTGGTGAGGTCTTTAACATATATTAAATTAAGGACATTTGGATATGTTTGAAAATCTAAAGAAAAATTAATTAATGAGCTTAATTAATTTTATTTTAAGTGTGTTAGTCACTTAAATTGATATCGGAGGTAATAGGTTATTAATTCCTTGAAACGTAGTCCGTTTAATCACCTTGTGAGCATATTACAAATTTGATGTAGAATTAGTACTTAAGGCATCTTGAAATGGTAATTGGACTTAGCATGATATAGAATATCATTGACTTGCATAGCTTGTTTAGATATATCTTGTGTAGGTGTATAGCTTGTTAGAATATTACAATTGTTTATCTTGGAAGCTAGTTACTAATTGGGACTTATTTAGTACTTGTGGCTTAGTGTGGTAATGTAATTAAATTGTCGTAAAATATTCTTGTTTTGGTGTATAAATTGCATATTGGAGGCATGATATGTCATATGCTTTCTAGACTTGAATTCTAGGACATGGTTTGTGTGGATTCAACCTTATTTGTGCATGGAAGATGGCTTTATGCATTAGTGGATTTGGTATAAGTTTGGTCTAACTTATCGATTTTTGTATAAGTTTTGGACTTATTGATTTTGGAAAGCTTGTAAGGACATATTTCACGTGATGGCTAGGGTTTGACTCTAGTACAGAGACAAGAGTCTTCTAAGTCATAAGTGCGCACTAGGTAGTACCGTGTGGGTGGTAATTTCCCGGAATAACTTATGCATGTGCGTACTAGGTAGTGCCTTGTGGGTCGTAATTACCCGGAAACACTTGCTTGGTCTAGTGACCACATGTCCTAGTCTTTCTACTTTGATTTCGCATTCATTTTCAAGTTGTTAATCATGGATTACTTGTAGCTTGAGAATTAATGCTTGCTTTGGATATTTGAATCTTACTTAGTATGTTTGAAATTGTATACTTGTTTTGTGCATTTAGATCTCATATACTGTACTTGAACTTGTATGCTTGCTCTGTGAGTTTAGATTTCATTTTGTATGCTTGTGCCGTGTATACTTGTTTTAGGCGTATCTCTCTTAGCTTAGTATACTTGTGTCGGTATACCTAATTTACGAGATTTTCATATAAAATGCATACTTGTGTAAATATGCTTAGACATTGCATGACTTGTCTTAATGTGGTTTAGTATATTTGGAAATGTATGCTTGTATATTGTATAACATGTTTAACATTGTTTAGTATACTTGAGCATGTATATTCGTATGCCGTTATTCACTTTAAATTGCATAAGTAACTTAGGATGATCCCTGAGTCTCACTTGACATAGACGTTAGGTGGCATGAGCTCCTTTGACATGTTTCACCTTAAGGTGATATAATTGTAAAACGCTAGGTCAATGCATGTAACGCCCCGAATAATTTTCTATATAAAATCCTCGATTTCATTAAATCAAAATACTTCAATATTACTCCCAAAGTCTCAAAAAGAAATAAAATATCCTTTATTGATACAACAATCAATTTCCTCAATTAAATATACAAAAATCTCTAAATAATTAAATAAAAATCCTCAACACCAACTCTTCCACCTAAGCCCGCTACTAGCAATCCAAGTTCATCCTCGGTACCTGAAACTGTAGGGGGGTGAGACAGTAGGAAAAACCATAACAAGGATTTCAAAGAGTTTCATGATAAATTTGCTTCACAAAAATATATATATACTTTTAAACAAAATACATATATACAATTTTAGCAAAATAACAATTAACAAAATATTTGAAATAAAATCATCCAAGCCATTCAAGGTATGATGATCTCTACACTGTAAAAGAATTAATCATTATATCGTCAAAGAGTCAAGCTTGGCCCTCTCTGTGTGTCTCTCGACACTGTGTGATTGCTTCTTCTATTTTTTTCCTTCTCTGCTCTCTTTTATCTCTAATTTATTTCTCTTTCATTGCAAAGTCACCCAGTGCACAACACTCTATAAATAAGGAAAATCCACAGACACAAAATCTCAATTTGCTCACCATATAAGGCCACGTCATACCATACTATCACAAAATATCAATTGGGTCCCGCCACCCATTCGTATCTTGCCTTTCCGCAACCACACTTTTCTATCCTTACCTTCCCAACACATCTTCATTCATTGAATCAACAAACCCACGTGCACAAAAAGAAATTTTGGTCCAACAATTCAACTATGGACCCCACATGATTTTATCAAATTTTTCCTTCTCAATTCGGCAGACTGCTCACATCTCCTTGTCCATCTGACATCAAAAATATATATATATATATATATATGCATAATTTGTAGCAATAAATCAAACTCATAATATCTAAAGGACCCACCATTAAACTACCATCATCATCATTTCAATTTCATTTTCTCCTTTCTAATTCGGTTGGGTGCCCACTTCCTTCCTTATCTTTTGCTACCAGCCCACCACTTCTTATTTTTTAAATCTTATTCAATTGAATTCTTTAAACCAACAATATAATTTCTCAAAACCCACGTGAAGGCAAAACAATCCACAAGTGGGCCCGCCAAGAAAAACATCATTATGATTTCCATTTCTCATTTTGCTTCCTTCTTTCATCATATTGCCATCACATGTGTATGTATATAAAAGATACAAAATGCAACCAAACTTTCCAAAATCAAAACCCATTAACTCCACTGGGCCTACGAAAAAAAATCACCAAAACCAACCTTTTCTCATTCGACTGGTAGCATTTTGCACCAAAATATATATATATATGCAACAAACTTCAAGTAATCAAACCCATTTATTTTTCTCATCCAATTCGGCAGACCGCCCATTGATCCAATAATCTCATCAAATGAAATATATAAATCATCTATGCATATGTAACAAAAATTAATCACCAATTAAATCTTCTTTCACTAATTTCATCCAAGAACTTTAGCATACAAAACTAAAATAAAAACCAATTAAAATATCAATTGGATAAATCTCAAATTTAAAATTAAAGAGTCAATCTTGACAACTAAAATTCATAGAATAAAATATAAATTCAATTTCAACATAAACAAATCAACCCATTAAAAATTTCAATTGGGTAACTCACCAAGTCTCCAATTAAAACAAAATAATCAATTTGCAATTGATAAGCCTTAAATCATAATTAATCAAATTAATTATGACAACAAAAATTAAACCCATTAAATCTTTTAATTGGGTAAATCTCCAGTTCAATAATCAATAATCAATAATCCAACCTCCAATTGGTAAATCTCCAATTAAAACAAAATAATCAATTTTGTTGACAACTAAAAATCAAGAGTATAAAATTTAAAATTAAACTCTAAAAATTCGGGTTGTCACAGTGCATGCTCATCTCCTATAAGTAGCTTTATTGTGACGACCCTGATTTTTAGGCCAGCGTATCCTGTGATGAACCGAAGGTTGATCCGATAACGGATCCGAATGCGGAAGTGAAAATAGAAAACAAGACTTTAAGAAGTCAAAGTGACCTTCCATGAGGTCATGGAACTCAATAAGAACTAATGCGGGAACGAATGATCAGAAAAAGACCGAACAGGCCCCCAAGGGCAAAATGGTCATTTCTAAAAATATAAAATCGGGTGCTACTGAGCACACCACTAGAAAGACAACCAAAATTTAATCAAATTAGACCCAAGAATCACTTGATTCAGAGTCCGGATGAAGAAGATATGAAACTCCAAAGTTTCATAAAAATCACATTTTTGAGTTTGAAATCAATGCAGCAAGGGTACTTCGTAAGGGGTAAAAAGGTCTTTTTAGACAAAATTGGATGCAACTGAGCATACTGTTAGATAGACCAGGAAAAATTAATGAATCTAGACTCAAGAATCACTTGATTCGGAGTCCGGACGAAGAAGATGTGAAACGTCAAAGTTTCATAAAAACCAACTTTTGGGTTTAAAATTAGTGCGGCAAGGATACTTTATAAGGGGTAAAATGGTCTTTTTAGATATAATTTGATACAACCGTGCATACTGTTATATAGACCAGCAAAAACTAATAAACTTAGACTAAAAAATCACTTGATTTGGAGTCGGGACGAAGAAGATATGAAGCCTCAAAGTTTCAGAAAAAACAATTTTCTGGGTTCAAATCTGGGCAGGACCTGCCCAGATTTTTGGACTTCAAATGTGGTTTTGAGGGCTTAAACCACATTTTTTGGCAAAAAGTTATGAACAAACCCCCCCTCCCCCCCTCCCCAAAATCATGTTTTCTACATGACCATGTCAAGAGAAGATTTTATTTTACAAGTGAAATACCCGAAATGCCTCTTAGATCAGCACTTTTTCCGGAAAAACCTGGAACGACCAGATTTTCCAGATCTGCGAGTTATTTTCGGCATTAAGATGATTTTTTTTGTAAAAACACAAAGAAGAAACCCCCCCTAAAATCACGTTTTCTACCCGAATTGCAAATGAAAATGAAAAATAAACACTATGAAGTACCCAGAATGCCCCTAGATCAGAAAAGGGCAAGAGGATTAAAAAGCTGCTATATGTATAACAGAAAGCTGAACTTTGCGATTGATTTCAGGCACCAAGACGACCTTTTCTGGAAAAACACGAAAAAAAAACCCCCCCTAAAATCACGTTTTCTAAGCGACCATGTCAAAAGAAGAAAATAAAACTAAGGTGAAAGGTTCATAATGCCCCTAGATCAGAATATGCAAAAAAAATGCGAAATGAATTCACAAGAGTCTCAAAACACAAACGATGAGGTTTTGCCCAGAAATGACTATGCACACAAACGTAACTTACCTATTTAGACGTGCTACAATGGTCCATGGCTTAAAAATATAGCCGATGCAAAATCCGACCCCCCAATGGGCAAAAAGGCAAAAATGGACTTGGAATGGAAAACATAGAATCCAAAAATGCAAAACGGGATCAAATGACCGTTTGGCCCTTGGCCACACTTCATACAAGATTAATAAGACCCTATAAAAGAATGAAAATGGAATTCCCACACCCGATGCAGCCGTGGTGAAGCAATGACTTGCGATTTTTCAAGTTTTTCATAACATTTCATGAAGTTAAAAAGTTGCATAGAATACAATATACATGTCATTGGCCTCCGGCTTCATCTCATACATATCAAATACATTGAAAGGAGTGTACTTAAGTACACATTACATACATGGAATCAAACATACATATTTTGACATATAAGTCTACAAAATGACATTTCATGCTAACATTTGCATGAAATGGAAACTTGAAAGCTACTCAACATCCAAGGAATGCTAGGCTTCACGAACCAAGTCTTCGTACCTAAAATATGCCCCAGTATCGTAGGGGTGAGTAATATAAAGCTACTCGTAGGAGATGAGAATGCATCGACCTAGCATTTTACAAATTTATCACCTTAAGGTGAAATATGTTAAAGGGGTTCATGTCACCTAACGTCTATATCGAAATGAGACTCAGGGAGTATCCTAAGCTACCTTAGAGTGTTTTTAGCATAAATCACATCACCTATACCATTTAAACAATATGGAAGCACGTTATACAAAGCAACAGGATATAGGTTCTTAAAGGTACTAACTTGCAATCCCGAATACAGAAACAACTAAAGTGATCATGTCACCTAACGTCTATGTTCTAAATAAGTCTAAGGAATCATCCTAGGCCATGCTGAACAATCAAAACGCAATTTACAACTTCAATGCAATCTAACCACATAAAAGCATATTATACAAGGCAACAAAATACAATTTCTTAAAGCTATCAGCTTGAAATCTAAAGCACGAAAACAACAGAAGTGGGTCATACCACCTAACGTCTAAGTTATAAATGAATCAATAGGATCGATCATAAGCTTTATTAGAATGTCAAAACACGATTTTCAATATCGATGCAATTTAACCAATAGTGGAACTTCCAATACAACGCATAAAGCACAATTTCGCAAAGTTAACATCCTGTAACTTAAAATGGAATGACAATTAAGAAACAACAAGTTACAACATCATCTAGTTATCAACTTGAAAATGAAATGCGAAATCAAACAAAGTGGATACTCGGATGTCACGCCGGATCAGACTGACAACATAGTTACTTTAGGGTTACTAGCCCATGGGTAACCTCCCTATGTGCGCACTAGACTATATATAGAGGGACTATCCCCCGTACTAGAACCACGTCCTAGCCATAATCAAACAACGACATCCCCAAGTTTCCAAAATTAACAAGTTGTGCAACAACGCATATATCAAAATGATTATGCAAGATAATCAACTACCTACCAAGCACAACCAAATTTGGAAACCTATATAATCCATGCTCCAAGTCCACTACTAATATGATGTGATGAATGTCGAATCTTTAGTGTGCGATTCGTTACACGCTATGCATGAATGATGTTAAATACGAAGTGTGCAAATCATTACACAAGGCAACAATATATTCAATAAGGAAAACATATTCTCATGAATACAAACATAGCAACTATGTTATCCAATGTTCCAAACTTAACCAAATGAATATACAACAAGTCGAAGTCCATGATTTGAATATAGAAACCGCTTCTAAAACACAACTAGATCATGGAGCAAATTGATAGAATTTAAATAGATAAACACAATTAAATTCTCTAGATTTCCGATTCAATTTCCAAGTTGTATATCACCATGAGGATTAAATCTTAAACAAGGAAATTAATTAAATGAAAGGTTTTAAAACCTAACCGAATATTCTAAATCAAATATATGTGAAGCTATATGGCATGTAAATTAAGAATATCAAGTCAGAATTTAAATAGAGTGAATAGTGTATTCGGGGCAAATTAATTAATAATTAGTAATTTTCAAAACACCTCCAATCACTTTCAAATTCTACTATGTTGGAGAGCATGCTAAGGCCTAATTTAATATGCTAACACATATTGATTTCAAGTTAGTTAAGGCCATGTGAATTAATCTT